AAGTGTGAATACGCGTCAGTAATATCCAAATGGGCAAACACCGTTGAGCCCTTCAACCTGTTGAAAATATCCTCCGCTTTTGGAATTGGGTGTTCGTCTATTACAATTTGCGGATTTACCTCCATTCTTCTTGGTCACTACGTGTGTAGTAAATGCCCATTCTGAATACTCTACTCTTTCGTAAAATTCTGCCGCAATCTTAGCATCTATTTCTTTGGCATACGCATCCCGTAATGCGAATGGGATTTCTCGGGGTCTTGCAAATGTTGGCGTAGTATCTGGCTATCTTCTCTCCTGACGCTGCTGACAACTCCGTCCCCGTTGATGCTTCTATTGGGTCTTGGACCAATACGGCAAAATTTATTTCTCGAACAAAATGTGCGATCCACTCACGAACACATGTGTCAAAATCGCCGTCAATTACGTATAAGTTCAGCCTACGACAGCCCAAAGACACATTCACCACAGTACGTCCTATGCACGTAATCTTGAGCCCCGTATAACTTGAAAATCTCCGTTCCGCTTTCTTTAACACTGGTGACTGCTTTATGTTCTTTAAATTCTCCAAACTAATAATAGTGCAAGGAGCACCCGTATTCAGTTCCATATCCACTTTTTGGCCATCTATCTTCGTTGTGACCATTTTCCGATCGAATGACCCTTTTGTTCTGACTGTTGCAATCATCTGACAACAGCGACTCCTCTATCTGCTTTGTATTTGACTTGCACACTTTACTTTTGTGGCCTACCTTGCCGCATGAAAAACACTTTGCGTTCTTGAATTTACAATTCTTCAACTCTGTCGTGTCATTCGACTTCTGCTTCACACCATTTTTCGTCTTGACAGGTATAAATCCCAATTTGCATGTCGGTTCTGTAGTAATATTCTCAACTGTATTTACTACACCCGTTGATACTTGAGTTAACTCCTTTGCCGTGGCACACTCATACGCCTCCGCAAAACTTTTTGGTTGCTTAGTAATAATCTCGTCACAAATATCATCTGCTCAGTCAGCATCAAGCGCAGTGAAAAATTTGCCAACGATTCCCCTACATCTTGGCGTATCTGTCGAAATCTGAAACTTTCCGCATAAATATTTCTCCACCCGTCGATTTTCCTTTGATTTCTTCATATTTCAGTTCTTCTGGCTTCTTAGGACTAATTAGAATTTTGAGAGCCGTATTTAGCTCAGCACCCATATGTACGTGCGCATAATTACGATAGTACTCTTGAGCAATCTTGCTCAATTTCAACGTCCATCAACGACCATTGAGCCATCTGTGCTTTTGTATTCGCTTATTGCAAAGCCTAGCGATCTTGTTGTATTTATGTCTTCTGACGTCACAGACTGCAGCCGTACCAATTGCATGCGCCAAAGAAGCAAAAACTGCATTCAATTGCTCCTGGTTCATCGTGCCTGTCCACTTCTGACACCAATATTGTATACTCAAATTCTGGAGTTTTAATTTGATTCAGTTTATTTCATTAAGAAAGATTGTGATGTACAAGTTACAAGAGTCAACGATGAACTAATAACTAAAGAATACGGAATTGAGAATGTTAGTGAAAATAGGGTTGCCATCTGGCAGATAAAAATAAAAGTGATGTCAATATCGAGTTTACATATACAACACATGGGTTCTACTCGGCGTCCTTCGTTTCGAAATTTGTGAAATTACCATTACTATACGTTCTATCCGTGATCGATAATGAGACTACAATGTTTGAAAGCATATCTCATCTTATTTATCCTAAACATAACATCAGATTAACGGAGCTTGGACAGATCTTTTTATACTTTGATTAAACATAGTCATTTTTATTGTGTGGTTTGCAAAATAAACAAATCCTTATACGGCCTGAAACATTGAAAAGAACTGGTCTCAAACAATCGAACGCGAAGGATATTTCATATACAATGGGGTTTTGTCCTGATACAATAGTAGTACCGGAAAATACCACCTGCAATCTGTTGAAAGAATATATGTCTTCAAATTTCCTACAGCGTTATCTGAGGCGGATCATATGTCGTTGTCTTCAAGTGGTCCAGAAGCCTTATGGTTATAATATTTTAAAATACTTTAACGGAGTTCCTCAACCGGTTTCACTAACATTTCTAGTTTAAAATGTAACACGTTTTAAATCCCTTCACCATATTATGGTGGACATATTAACTTTGTCATTCAGTTTGTAACTCCTCGAAATGCTCATATTAAACCCTACGTCTACGTCAATTGTAGTCCTCATATCTTTTGAACGAATTGATATAGAAGGCTAAAGTTTTGTTAATATGGGCTATATAAATGGGCCCATACAACTTTGACCCAGATATTCGGTATATTGACGATTTTGGTCACATTTTGTTAAATAATTGTTTAAAATTCAACGTTAAAGGTTTGTAATGAGTTCTACCTGTGGCAGATCATTGTAAATATAATTCCACTTTTTCATATAGCCCACTTACCTCATAATGGTACCTGCCGATATTCGGTATTCTGACTGTATTGTTTTTTAACGGGAACGTTTAAGAGTCGGATACAATACTATTGTCGTATTATGAAAATTTATTTCCTACTTTTAACTCGAACGGACAACTTGAACATGCTGTCTAAGGCGAAACCTAGGATATTAAGGTAGAGTGTGACCGTTGATTTAGTGGAGGATATTTGTATTTTTCTAACATAGAAAAAATACTCAAGTCATCAACAATCTCATTGCCATCTACCGGTGATGTTTTCCTACCAAGGAGAACATCCTGTTTCATTCTCGGGACTGAACTTCTTCTTTCTCTTCGGGGACGAAGTTGGTGCATAGCGATAAGTTGAGAACTTTTTTGACATACTCAAATCCCGTTGTTTCCAGCTGTTCCAACATTACCATTGTTGTTTCGTCGGGCCTAACGCTTTGGACATCAACATTATCCATCGTAAACTCTCTTTTCTTCTCCTTGTTTTATCCTATCACCGTCTGGGTGCTTGACAAATTGGCGGTTGAATCGGTCGCTGAGGTCCTATCACTCTGTTTCCCTGGGTTCAATAGCGATTTGAAATTTACTCATATCGGTTCCAATGTTGCTAAACTACAGATAGTCTATCCCCTTTTTCCTCTTGTGATACTGCACCAACCTGTTTTCACTTCACTGACTCTGGGGTCAGTACGGTTAGAATGAATACTTTTCCACTGCGTTGCACTTGTATTCGCCGACCACACTGGTGCCGCATAGCTAACCACAGAACGACCTATCGCTTTATAAGAGGTCAACAAGGTTTCCTTATCCGCACACCAAGTGCTGCCGGCCAGCGCCTTGAGGAACTTGTTCCTACTTTTCATTTTATCGCAAATAGCTGTGGCTTTCGCGGAAGACTTGAACATGCTATCGAATGTGACCCCAAGAATTTTGGGGTAGTTGGTGGTCGGAATTATGTGCATCTCGACCTGCACATTCAGCTGTGTTCTCATCTCCGCAGTCCATGTAATAAATAGTGTGGCCGTCGATTTAGTGACGGATGTTTTCATATTCCTCGCGAGATAGTTATTCACCCTGACACATATGTCATCAACTACAGGACCCGACGCCATGATCGTACAATCATCCGCATAAGTTACGATCTCGATGCCGACTGGAGGACGCAGAATTCCGGAAAGGTAGAGGTTAAATAGTTCCGGAGATATCTCCCCACCTTGGGGAACTCCTACTCACACTACGAGTCTTGGACTTCTTATTCCGAAATTCCACGTGCGACTGGCGTCCACACATATATTTGACTATCCAACGTTTCAAACTTGGCCGGAGGGTAGTGTTCTCAACGTCCTCGAACAGCGTGGTATGGTTGACCTATCAAAGGCCTTTGATAGGTCCAGAGCCACCACTACTGTTCTGTGGCACGGCCTGTTCTGGTTGAGTCCTCGACTGATATGTGTGGATATGGCGTGCAATGCTGTTGTAGTGCTATGTAGTGGGCGGAAACCGTGTTGATGGTTAGCAAAGAGAATAGCTTCCTCTGATACTGGGGAGGAGTAAGGCCTCGAGAGTCTTTGCTACTGGCGACAAAAGCGAAATTGTCCTGTATGATTCGCCTTAGTTGGCATCCATGCCAGGCTTCAGTAGCGGGACCACCCTGCCCATTTTCCAGGCTTCGGGAACTATGTCGGTGGCTAACGACAAGTTAGATACTCAACTCCCGGCGTATCCAGTTGCTTCAACATTACCATTGATATTCCGTCCGGGCCCAACGCTTTAGATGACTTAGCGTTTCGGATGACATTCGCAACATCACCCATCGTAAACTGTGGAGGTACATCCTCGGCGGGAAGAGCTCTTATACGACGTAGTACTCTTCGCCTCGCCTATCACTCTCGGGGTGCTCGACAAATTGGCGGTTAAAACGGCCAGCGCACCTCTTCGGATCAGTCACAGTTACGTCGTTAAATGTGACTGCTGTCCTATCATCCTTTTTTCCAGGGTTCGAGAGTGACTTTAGCGTTACCCACAGTTTACTCAAATCGGTTCCAATATTGCAACATTTCAGATGGTCTAGCCACTTTTTCCGCTTATGCTCCTGTACCAACCTGTTGACTTCCACTGTCAGTTCGCTGACTCTGGGATCAGTAGGTTTGGTACGTCGGAGCTCATTCGCTAATCCCGCTGCCTCTGCTGGGAAATTTTGTCTTACTTCGGTTATTCGACCAGCAGGTATATAGCGAGCGGCTGCAGCTTTGATGATGTCCAGTGTATACATATACATGTTGTATACTGAGTTTATTCGCTAGTCCTGCTGTCTTAAGTGAGAGATTTGGTCACGAATCGGATATTAGACCAGCAGGATTGAAGCAAATGGCTGCAAATAGACAAAGACACAGCGTATAAGGCTCGCATAGAACTCTAAGAACTCTAGAACTCTGACAATACTGATTATTGGTCTACATTCCATGCATGCTTTTCAATAAGTTTTCATGGTTTTCCAGATTTGGGATAGTATACAAAAAAAATGCCCAATCATACGTTCCATCATGTGTATAGGTTTTATTTGAAATGATAAATCCAATGTGTTAAACAATTGTACAATTATCCAGTAACATAAAATATAATGATAAAAGACAGAATTCATGGAAAACTAAGTAATTCAAATGTTCAATGGCCTTGGGCGGTGAAAGCGAAATGTCCTTTAAATGTGATTTTAATTTTTAAAGCGATTTTCGACTGCTACAGGTGCAATGCAAAAATGTATTATACTTATATATTACACGTCTAGAAATATAAAAGATTTTGTTTTAATGAGAAAGAAAAACTAAGTATAAATATATAATTTGTCGACGAGTGTGCTTAAATGTAATGATCGCACTATTGGGGCTCAAATTATTTCTGTGAAGGTTGATACAATTCATGTACTTTACAGTCTGAAACTTGTAAAAACAAGTTTTTACGCATTTAGACGCCAGGAGGAGGTGGTTCATCGCATCGTCCTGCTGGTGGCTTTACATTTATGACAATGTCATCGGGAACCATACTAAGAAGCTCTGCTTCACTTAGTTTAGCGAGCCGACTTGTTGAAGAAGTACCTGTAAGGGAAAAACAAACCAAAATAATTGCATCCAATCAACTCATATTAGCCGATTAAACATACTTTTGTGTCCATAGGACGATTCGATTGGATCAGCAGGATTGTACTCATCAACTGGTTCTGGCAATGTTGATGTGATCAACGAACCAATCAAGGGCGGTGGTGGTGGTACAGCTGGGCGAACTTCTTGTGTTGGATTTGACGTTTTTATGCTAGCTAGAATTTGGGGTAAATTCGAAGGTATGGCTATGTTAGCCAATACTTTTGATTTTGGTCCCGAAGTTTTGCCATATTTCTGTAATGTTTTAAAAAATTTACAAGTTAAGATGTACAATTGAAGTGATTAATACCTACCGCAGTTTCTCCAGTTAGTAGACCTGCGATTTCCATTTCCTGTGCTGCAATTTGTCTGTTAATCTCCTCCATTTTTCGTTTCAGCTCCTCCTCAGCGGTTTGCATTTGATTGGAAGCAGCGGGCAATTTAAGAGGCAACAATTCTAAATCTTCATCGCCAGAACTGCCCCCAGGCGAATATGGTTCGTCGGCATCAGCTTTCAAACTTGATACCAAAGTAGTAGAAGGAGCAGCTATTTTTTTAAAAAGTAACAAAATTGGTTGTAATGTCATGATATTTGCTATACTCATATTTGTTTTACCCTTCTGCAATTTCGATGCGATTGGCGCCTTAATAATGGCATCAATGTCGATATCCTGCGGATTAGGCGACGGCCGGCGTTTTTTAAGCTTGGGGCTACCTGGCGGAGTATGAACATCGATATCGCGTCCCACGAACTGTAATTAGAATTTATACAAGTAATTTGAATTTGTTGTACAACTGTATATTGAATATTTATAACGCAAAGCGTTCAACAGATGATGCGACTTATTTTCTTACAGCTCCATCGAATTACCACATCATTCGAGTTTTACTACCACCATACAATTGGTGTCCACTATTTGATAAAGGAACTGTGTTGATACTTTTTATTCTGAAACCTCACATAGAGATGGGGGCCAAAAACCTACTAATAAAAGTATATTTACTATAATACAGTCAGTGAATGTATGTGGCATGGTATTTGTCTGCGTATTTTCCAGTAATATTTACCCAGTAAACTCATATGCCCTGTTCCAAAACCTGCTCGAATCTACAAATTTTGCAACTTGTTATGATATCAACAAGTTGCAAAATTTGTAGAGGAAATTCGTTTATCATAGTAAAAAAATTTACATTCCTGCAGTTCTGGGATAGAGCAATTATTCTAAATTTAACTTCTGCAAATAAAATCCACTGTCTAACTTATTCCTCATTATAATTTAAATTTTCAATAAAAATGGATCAATCCGTACAGATGTGTCAGAGAAACACGTAATAACACAGTTTAACGGCAAAGCATACTATTCGCGTTAAAATCCATTTGAACTTACTCGATTTGTTAAATGTTCTAACAAGCAATATTTCGAGCACAGATCCTGAAAGGACGGAGCTCTTAAAGATAAGGCAACGACAAAAAATATGAGATAGTTTAAATTCTGTTTGTGCAAAGAAATCTGCCGTAGACCAGCACCGAAAAGCCTCCAGTAGTAATCCACTTGGCCGAACTCGAAAATCTTATACCAAAGAAAGTTATGTGTTGCACCAATTATTTCCAAAAAAATTTGATCCACTAGTTACTGCTTTGCAAATTGAAGAAGGAAATACATCTAATAAGTGAATCAGCAAATAACGACAAACCTAAAAATTATTGACATAAGGACGCAAGATTTGTAGAGAGTAAAAACGTGTTGAAATCAAATAATGCTCAAGTTAAATTTCGGCTCATGGTAAAAGACGTCTTTTCAATGGTATTAGTACACGGTCTCCGAGGAATGCACTTGGATGTTTGAGGCCCTATCACACCAGTTACGTCGGATGTAGAAAAAAATTTGTGGTAAATATGTAAAGTAAAACAGGTAGAAACAACAGTTTAATAGAACAATATCGATGAGCATTTTTTTGGGTCTGAGGCACCAAAACATCTGTATTCCACGGCATTATACATTAAATCGTATTTCAACAACACCAGACCAAATGGGTACCGATTAGGGGAAATAAATAAGAGGAAAATTATTCTAGTCCGAGTTGTAAATCTCGATGAAAATAATTTTCCGTTCAAATCCATGGAAGACGGGATCTAAAAATCAAAATAAAATATACAGCAACCACGAGCAAGAGGGGGAAGTCGAGCAGCTTGTCATGACATTACTTAAAGAAGAACAACCTGTTGAAAATACTTCGCCTATTCTGAATGAGTAGGGTAAATGTTTAATTATTTTACTGGTTTTGAAGATATTAGTAATTAACTACCATAAAAGAGGCAAGGATTATAGCTGTAGAAAATCTGTCGTCGATGAGAGAAAATCATGTATGGGACGTAGTTCCAAGATCAAAAATGCAAAGTTGTTGAAATCCAAGATAATATTTAAAATCCATTATTATTACATAACATTGTGAGACCAAATGGGAGAAATGTTTATGGCAATACCACATGGTTTAAAGGAACAGTCTTTCAAAAAGTTATATGAACTGAAATAGTCGTCGAAATGTTGAAATGCCAAATTCAATGATTACATTGCATATATTCTATTCATCAGAACTGTTTATATACGAAAATGGAACTGAAGTTTAGAAGCTTTACAAGTCTTTATATGGATGTTTTGTTGTTAGTTGGCAACAATTTGGAGAGTATTCACAAAATAGAATGAAATATTTCAGAAAATTTTTAAAATAGAATGCGATAATCTCTTCTGATGTTCGGTGTGAACGAAGTACATATTATTGTTTAAACATCAATAGATATATAAAATTGCAATTTTTATACTAAACATTTTGTTATTAGCTTATTTTCACACCTAATATAAATTTAACTTTGAAATTATTACGCATATTTTATCTAGGAAATTCCAATACAATCCCTTAATAATAATAATAAGATTGTTGCTACTTACTTTACTTGAAGTCTCATTAATTGGCATAGCTATTGAACTATAGCGTTTCCCAACAACACGCACAATTATACCAATTAGGATATCTGGTCTATAAGGATCATCTTGAAACTCAACAGATTCACTGCACCGCAAGACGGAAGGCATTAACTTTCCGGCTGCCAAAGGATATATATAGAAATCCTTAATATACTGCGATACACTTTTTATAACACCTAAACGATTGCGTATTTCCAGATACTCATAGAGCAGTTTGTAGGCAGATGTTTCTGTTTCACTTGCTGGTAAAAGTTTAAGCAGAACAATCTCTTTGTTTGGACTCTTTTTGATCTTTGATATATAATCCCATACGGTTTCCGGGCCGATACGACCAACCACGTCCAATTCCTTCGCCAAGAGTTTTGATATATTATTACATGTACCCGATAGTGGTTGTAAACATAGGTGAAACGACGTAACATCTACCATATTTATATTGCCAGACCATAAAATTGTGTGGTTGTAACGGCTAGAATCGCCTGAGGGCGACGACGAAGTAAACCTTGTGTATGGATCATGTGGAGGAGTTGGAATCGAAACTGTACTACTTGGTTCTTGATCACTTGAATCAACATAGTTGGAGGGGGCTGGGATGTCAATTACATAGCTGTTATCGCTGCTGCTGCTTATTATAGGGGGGGCAGACAATAACGCTGTTGCAGTTTTTTTGCTTATGTCAGTTTCTTTATTTCTTTCGGTGACCAAATTAGCTGCTTCTTCAACAGTTTTAGTTGATTCCAAAATTTTATCAACCAAATTGTATTCTTCCAGAGTGTTGTGGGTTTGCTCTTGGATTTTCTTTTTTATGGTACCAGTAGCTCTTTTCTCCGTTATAACGGACTTTTTGTCGGCTGCTTGATCCCGTTCTGCGCGTTCTTTAATCTTATCTTTATCCTTCTCTCGTTTTTCATCTTTGACATCCTTCGAGCTTTTGTATCGTTTCTCACTGCGATCGCAACTACGACTGCGCGAACGACTCCGACTACGCTTTCTCGTCCGAGATTTATCGCGATATCGATCTTTGCTTTTATGACGTTTTTCACGATCTCTTTCTTTGTCGCGACTTTTTTCCCTATACCTATCCTTATCTTTTTCTCTGTCTCCTTCCCTGCCCCGTTCCTTCTCTTTACTGGCAGTACTGATATGAGCCTTAAGTCTATCATCGTCGCTTAATTTTGCATACTGTGAATGTGATTTAGAGGCAGGAAGATAATCAATCTCTGAAGTATGAGATTGCGTTTTTGATACTGCCGCTTCCTCCGAAGATTTTGTTTTATTACGGCCCGAGGCTGTGTCATCTTCTTCGGGTATAGTCAAACCGACAGTCTCAAATTCTGAAGACTTTCCTTCTATAACCTCCTCTCCTTTGTGTGTTTTTACCACATAATTCATTGCACACGATAACAAATCTAACTCTGACTTTTTGATCATTTCCAGTTGGTGCTTTGTCTCTTGTTCACGCCATTGTGCCAGTTCTTGACTTGCCATTTCATCTGGCGACATCCGTACCAATTGTTTGGGTTCAATTAGTTTTTTACATATTTTCGCGTAAAGTGTATGGTTTTTCCTGTCTTTGATATTGAACATCAGCGATCGATACTTGGCTTTATATTTTGCACCTGTGTCGCGGTTAAAATAGTTATACATCTCTAGCTCCGTCGCTTTTATAAACTCCTCCACTTCTTCTACAGACAATTTGGGCATGTCACTTATTTTGGTTGTATCATTTTCTCCAACGAAGTCTTGCGTAGAGACTACGCCTTCTTCTTGAATTCTTTGTAACAGTTGTTCCCTAAGGGTGCGACGAACTACATGGCGAATATCTTCATCGTTCCCTGTCACCTTATTACCAGCCTCGACATTAGCTGATTTTTTGTTCGGATTTGCTTGTTTATCTTTGGGTGTTTTAGAATCATCATTAGACTTCTGAACTCTATCACCTTTAATTGACACATGCTGCGGATACTTCTGCAATTGCTTAGGTGTTCCGGGCCGCGAATTAGATGATGTTGACGGCGAATGTTTTAATACTTCTTGTATGTTTTTTGTGGGCTTTGTATGCAGCGTCGGCAAAATGGGTTTATTTACATTCACGGGGGAATGTGTTTGGGGACTGTTTGATCGTGGGTCAACTTTTTGTTGGTGAGGTGTATTCGAGAACGGAAGTAATTTCAAAGGAGGCGGGGATGTAGCCATCTTTGGCACTGTCGGTGAAGAAGAATGTTGTGCACGTATTTTTTGCCGTTTCTGAAAAGTAAATTGCATACTTTAATTAGCTGAGATGAATTTTATTACAACAAAATTGACATTACTTCGATATCTAAGGCCTGGGGACTACCGGGTTGTACAACTTCAAAGGTTGGATTTTCTTGAAGCCATTTTTTCAGATTTGCAAATGTTGGTGCGTTATGTCCCGTCAATCTAAAAATAAAATAAATATGTACACATCATTTGACTCACAACTTTCTGTAAATTGTAAGGAAACTTGCACAATGTAAGAAGTGTGAAGTGGTTTCACATCTTTTTAATATTTGTTTGTAGCAATGCGATATAGTTTGAAAAAAACGCCATTAAAATATAAATAATGCAAATTAATAAATAACATAAGGATATACTTACGTTCGTCCGGATTTGCGTTCGAAAACATTTACCTGTAACGAAAATGCAAGTTATTATCATTTGTATCTAAACAAATTATGCTAAGCTATTTGCAGAGTAGAATAGCTCTAACTAAAGATACTAAAATCAGCACTTACTCTTTCCATTTTAATTTTACGATCCGGCATTGACAACTCCTCCTCAAATAGGCCTTTGGATTTTTTCTTTGTTTTGTCATCTTGAGAACTAGCGCTCAAAGCAGCCCATGCTGTCTGTGAATGTTTCCGTATGCAGTCATCGCTACAATATATCGAGTTGGAACGAGCATTTTTCTTGCAAACTATGCAAAAAGTGGGAAGTTCATTCGACATTGTTTTGGGGCTCAGAGATTCATTCGAAGAAATTGTTTTTGTTGGCGCTGTTAAAACTTTTATAGACTGGCCTGTAGACTGCGCTGGAGAAATCGTTTTGATAACTTTAATATTTTGAGTTTGACTCTGTTGTTTCCCAGCACATGATATTTGTTTTACAACAGCGAACGTTCTAACAGGGGAACTGAGATTTGATGTTGTTTTAAGGGGTTGTGTTGTTGTAACAATGATCTTCTTTTGACCTGACGTACTTCCAGGAGTTGTTTGAATGAAAAGTTTTTTCCCACTAAAGTCCTTAAGATTTATGATTTGCCCACTTTGTAGTGAAGTTTTTGGTGACTCGACAGCGGATTTTGCTGGATCGAAAGTAATTCTATTACTTTCTTGTTGTAACTTGTTAGTTACAACTGTGGCTACCGAAGAAGATGCCGCATTTATTATTGAAGTTGTGTCAACTGCCGAAGTATTTGTTACTGCCGCAGGTTGTACGGAGACAGAGTTTTCTTTTTTGAAGAGGTCCGTAATTTTCGGCTGTTTCTATAAATCAGAAGACAGTAATAACTTGAATAACATGACAATAATATTTCACGTATCGATTTATATACCTGTTCTTCAATTTTCTTTACGCATTTAGGACAAGTCCAGTCAATGCCTTTCTGTTCCATCTCCAGACCCATTGCTTTTGTAATATTTACGCAAGTTCCATGGAACCAATCTTCACAAACATCACAACATATCATAAATCTGTTGTTATGAGGCTGTCTACAAATACACCATAACCTAAAAAATCGTTTGAATATTCAGTGTTGTTCACATTTTTACAATATAATATGACTCTACTTACTTATTTGGATCGTCATCATCTTCGTCTCCGGAGTCAGATGCGCCCATATCGACTTTCGGTTTGTTTGATTTTCTGGACACATTTCGCTTTATTTTCTGTGGAGTGGTAGTAGCAGTTATATTTTCTTTTGAGCATCTTCTACGGGTGCTCGTTTCTTGAATCCTTTTATCTATAGGAGTATTAATGGGTGCTACAGATGTTGTTGTTGCTATGCTACAGCTATCCAACTTCCCATCACTTGAACTATTTGGAATCGTAACAGATACACTTGTGGGCGTTGAAGAATTTACTGTGATGGGAAGTGTAACCGGCTGAGCTTGTGCTCGTCTCTTAGCTCGGGTCGTCGGTGCCTCAATTGGAGGCAGTGTAATGACACGTCCATTTCCTCGCACAATTTGTATGGGTTCTTTGCGAGCTAGAGGAGATATTTTTATTGCCTGTTGTGCTGCACGACTTTGTTCGGGGCTAGATTGTGTTGCAGTTGAAGTGGTTGTTGTTATGTTTGAAATGCTCATTTGTATAATACTCCTAGATGAATGCGGTATATCATCTAAGAGGTTTTTATTACTACTACCCTGTTGGGAAATAGGAGCCAAAGGAGGTGGGTTCGGATTCGACATAGTGCTGGCGGCAGTTATGGGATCATTTGAGTCGCCCGATCCCAAAACATCTACTGCTTCTTGTAAAGTTTTATCATCCTTAATCAACTCGACTACCTGTTGCAATATATCATCGGGCAAATCATCATCATTACCGTCGGAACCGGCTAACAAAGAAGTGTGACTTAGGTCGATATCTGAGAGCTTAATGTTGCCTGTCTCAGACTGATTATTTAGTCTCTGATTTTCTAATTTATCACACTGACTCCGACTCTCACAATCGCCAGACCCAAGCCCTCGACCATCTTTATTAATAACAGTTATGTTAGGTGCCAAAGATGCCTCGGTACTCTCTAACATTTTCACTAATTCCGGTATGTTTTCAATAATGTTACAAGGCGCAGGAGTAAGAATTTCTTTAGACTTTCGCATTTCATCCTGAACGATGGAATTTATTAAATCAAGTTGTTTGTCATGTTCAGCTTCTAATTCCGATGAACTTTGATGCGTTTGTACAGAAATTTGTGCTGGTAATTGGTTTTTAGACGCTGCCTCTACGCCCAATTGCATAAAACCCTTTGGGTTAGTTGCTGGTTTGGGTGAGACAGATGAGGCATTTGACGTTTTGAATGAAGGCTTTACATGGGAAAACTTTGCCGTGGATGTAGGAGTTAATCTCAAATCTTGTTGTTCCAATAGTAAAGTATTTAAGTCAGTAAATCCTTTAGTTTTTGGACTGGACATAATATTTTTGTGAATAAGAATCTCTTTATGGGTTTGTGGGGAGGGCAGACTTTTTATTGCGCTGCTTGTTTTAATTGGAACCGTTTTTATATTAGTAATTTGTGTGTGTAATGTCTTACTTTCATTTTGTTTCCTTGTTGAAGGCTCAGAAGCTAATGATACCGATGTTAGCGCATCATTACTTACGTTTTTGGTAAACATACAAGCCCCCGGTGATGCTAACTTTGTTGGATTTGAACGAACCGTTATACGACTTATATCTGCTGGGGATTTTATATTTGATCTCTGCTTTTGAGTTGCAGTAGATAATGTGCCAACAGCGGGCTTACTTGCTGGTTCGGGTAGGTCCTCTTGAGCTGGAGCACGTCTTGACTTGAGCATCGTTTTCGGATTGGCGATTATGCGCTTGGCTATTTTAGCCGCTCTAATTTTTCTTCTTCTTCCTTTTGGATTATTAACATCAAAATCTAAATCGCTATCACGGTCATTGTCGGATTCATCTGATTCTTCGGGAGCCGTGCACTCGCTGTCTTCCTCTTCAGCTACAGATCCGTAATCTTTTTCATCAGTTGTTAACCGAGAATTTCTTAGATGCCCTTCTTCAATGTTTTCAGAAGACTTTGCATCCTTGTTTTCTTTAACAATTGATTTGCCTAAAGACGTGTCATATTTTTCCTTCAGAGAAGACGTTGGGCTTGATAATTTTACCGAAACATCAGTTTTCGGTATGGGCTTTCTCCGAATAAACAGCTGTTTTCCTACAGAACTTTGATTTGGATTCATAGCACATTTGCGACTGTTGGACTGTTGCTCCAATTCTAACTTGTCTGCAGCCAGTTTAGCCTTCATTTGGCTGGGAGATGTAAAAGGAGTGTAGCAATGGTCGTTCTTGATAACAAGTAACTGGAATTCAACATCTTCTTTACTTTTCCTATCAGGTCCGAGACCAGCCAGTTCTGAAATCAAAATGTAGTTAGATGATTACAAATATTGCATGGAAAATATTTAATTTTTATAACATACTCAGCGCTTCTTTTACAATCTCGCCTGCATCATCTGGGGAATAAAACTCTTCAAAGCGTAGCCCAACTATTTTTGGGCGATCCCTTTTACGTTTACGAAGAACTTTTTTCTGTTTTACAATGTTTGGTTGACGGCCCCGGCGGCGAGCAACGGGCTTGCTTTTAGATTTATGCTCATCAGAGCTTTGTATAGCATCTTCTCGGTCGGAGCTGTCACTGTCCCCAGTAATGTTGCGGTCGCCATCTGATATGTTACTCTCTTCGGCCTGGTCTGAGCTATCATTGGCGGAGTCCAAATCTTGATGTCTCGCTATTTCTTCTTGTCGTGCTTCCTCTTCCTCCTCCTCTTGCATACTAGGTGTTGGTGATGTTAATCGAATTACACTTATAGATGATATTTTCTTCTCATCTACCAGTAAAAACAGTAATACAATTTCACATCTACAAACATTAACATATGCAAACATACCTATTAAACTTTCCAAACCTTTGTCGTCGAAGCTTATGCCATTTTTTCCATATACAACAACAAGGTTCGAATCCGAGTTGCTATTATAATCTGGAACATCTTCCGTTGCAGGCAGAGGTGTTCTTTCAATAAACATAGAACTTGACATAGCGATGGGGATTCTGAGTAGCTCGACCTAATACTCGGATCAAATACCCGCTCGATGGCGTAACCCAGAGGAAAATAACCAACAATGGAAAATGAAAGCAGCTCTCACACGATCAAAGGATTGTGGTTCTTCTTACCTACAAGTGTAAAATCGGCTTGAACTTCACGATTTGTTCTTTAGTTGGAATGGAGGCCAATAATTCATTTACGAAGGCATCCTGAAGCGCCTAAAAGACAAATCGATATAATAATATACATGCAAAGGTGCAAGGTTCAGGTTCTGTCCTCCGTCCACAATGTCATGTCACAACAAACACAATCAATCAATATTTCATTAGATTATCCTTTGGTTAAATGACTCAATATTTTATACGTCAAATATAATTTAAATATTTTCTGTACTTTTTTTCTTGTGTTTAGCACAATAATTATTTATGGAATATCCGATATAGGCGCTTTTTTAGCAAAAACTTAATGTATATTTTCTTCTATTATGTTTGTAAAATTTTCACGCACATCCCGACCGACAAACGCCAAACCTGAGTACAAAGCCGCCACTTCCCGATGTCGATGGCAACTGCGTTCAGGGATGGAAATATCATATCACTTTAGTTCCCTTCTTTACCTGTCGTTTACACTAGAAAAATTTTCTTTCATCAGAGTTGTATTTTACTGCTACATACACACTGATTCGAGTATTTTCGTCATTTTTCAAAGACAACAAACACTAATAATTTTTACACAATTTAAAAAAAACAATTGTAAATTTTTACAAAAAACTAAATAAAGTAACGGAAAAACTAACAAATATTTAAGATTTTCATTAAAAATTTTAAAATTATCAAGTCGCCCACGTTACAAAACCAAATTTTAATATTTTTACAATTAATATGAGCTATTTATAAAAATTTCATTAGAAAAGTTCGTGTCAGAAAATTCGTGTTAAAAGGAGAGATTGAGGAATCTGTAGGATATAACTAGATAATAAGAAAACAGGTCATTGTGGTTATTGTTATATCGTTTTGTTTTAATATTTTTAATACCGAACGTTAAATGTTTTTTTTCAAGTAAACTCCCTGATAATGACTATCAAAGATAGTCGAAATATCGGAAATATAAATGAAAATATACGCTCTGTTTCAGAACCTTCTATTTTTGCAATTTTTTTCGATTCCATAAAGGGAAAATTGGTTATCGTAGTAAAAACGGTTACAATTGCGTTGCTTGCAAGAATCTACTAGTTATGCAATATTTTCGATATCATAAAGAGGAAATCGATTATAATTGTAAAAACTTCTACATTCTGAAACAGACAAAATCTTGCAGTTCCAGAACAGACATTTTTAAAATTACAGGTATATGGATCAATGTTCCCAAGCGTTGATTTATCTATCTGTATTCTTATACCATGATGCAGGGTAAGCACAATAAGCATTTTATTAAAATGTGAGTACATAAGCAGCTTGAAGTCTTCGCATGGCCTATTTATCACATATGACATATCATAAAGGGATGCCAGAGCCGCACTCGAATCCTGCCGTCGTTTCCCCTTATCCTTTGGCATTAATATGCCTAGCCATGATGCCTAGCTGCTTATGTACCGTCACCTTTACATTTACATTCGGACGTGTTTTTTGCCTAGTATTTTTACACAGCTTTACATAAAATTCGACGTACGCGGTCGACATTTTTCACCACACAAGTAAATCACGTATTTATATAAAGGTTACCCAAATACGTCGGGAGTACAAAAATTTGAAGTTGAACATTTTCAACTTTGACAATTGAAACAAAAAATGTTAATGTTTGTAATTGGAATACATAATAATTGGATAAATGTTAAAAATTATAAATTTTTACAACGCTAAAAATCGGTACATTTTAAGATTTGAGATAGGCTTATTTAGGTAATACCATGGCTTAATAAGAAAGGTTACTCATCTTCAAAGAAACTTGAAATTACCAGTCTGTGCTGGAGTCTTTATGTGTCAAACAGACTTTTAAATATACAACAGTTTGCTTTTTTATTTTTGCTTTTTTATTTATTTTTTTTTTTTAACAAAATTCTTATATTGGTAAAAATCGGCGAAACAAGAATGGAATTTCGGGTTTTTTTTTCACAATACATGGTACAAAAACAAAAAAATGCAAAAAATAAAATTGTTCTGGCAAGTAATTTATTTCACAACAGCTGTTCTTTTGCTTCCCTTCTCCAAATAAATTATACCCGAAACTACATTTTCTTCATGTCTCTCTTTCACTCTCTCTGTCTATTTCTCTCGGCCAAATAAACTTATGTTTAATGGGAAAATATATTTTACGAATGTGAACATGTGTCAAACATGTTTTCCCATAGCACTGTTTGACGCTGTTTGGTGACTGCTTGAACAAACAAAATCTGTCAAATATTTGACTGTAATGTGAACATTGAATCAACTCTGTATGAATTTCACATTTGTTCAGTCAAATATGGGAAAACAAATTTCGATCAAATATTTGCCCAGTGTGACCGTACCTTTGGTCTTGCTAATTCCAAAAAAATATTTTCAAATTGAAAGCACAAAAAGAAATAAACAACCAGTAGAAAACATCTGATTGAATGTCGATGAATGAGAAGAAGAAGAGTTGCAAGTGATTGCAAGAAGAAATTTGTCCAGCAAGAATTTGCAAACTCTCACTGAAAGAACTGTCAAAATTTCTCTCTCCAACCGCTCTCTTTTGCAGAACTTTCGGGTTAACAGACGGCTTCCAGTAACAATTTGTAACAATTGTTACAAATTTTAGGGTAACCAGACACACCTAATATGTATTCATAAATTCAAATTCACATGAATAGTTAAAAGCAAAGTCAGATATATGTTCCCGAATACGATCATTACAAACGAATCTTACAATGTTATTCAAAATTAATTCTAATTTATGAAAATTATATTCAGATATTCCAAATATAATTTCTAATGCATACAACACATGGTAGAAGAATATAGGTAGACGCGTCGACACAGCTGCTGGGACAATGAACTGTCAAACCAATTTTGGAATTGAAAATGTTGAATGAAAAATTATTTAAATTTGTAAAAACTGTTGAAAAACACGAATTATAGTAGCCTCCGAATGACGTAGTATAAGAAAACATATAAAAATCTACTTATATTTGAAAAAACATTTAAATTTTTTTGAAATATCAATGCTCCCAAGCGTTGATGCATCTACCTGTATTCATACAACATATCATACCTATTAAAATTCGCATTTTTCAACAATTTTTACAAATTTAAATAATTTTTCATTCAACAATTTCAATTCCATAAATGGTTTGACAGTTCATTGTCCCTGCAGCTGTGTCGACGCGTCTACCTATATTCTTCTACCATGCAACATATATTGTATCATAAGGGCTCAAGCAAGGTTGATCCTAACCCGTAAAATTACATAAAAACTAAAAATATTAACATGGTGTTCCAAGTTCAACTTATTATCCAAACATTTCCAAACACCTTATCAATAATATCAATTCTAAAATCTCCTATCAAAATCACAATATCTCTTTCAAAAGAATCAAAAATAATAATTTTTGATTTTAAAGTTTATTGTTCTTTTTAAATAATCCAAGATATTTGCTTCAGAATTAAAAAGCAGCAGTACATCATCAGCAAATATGAATAATGAGCAAATACTAGGAATAATACACTCTGAGAGGTAAAGAATAAACAGCAATGGATCTAAAACCAAGCATTGTGAAACTCCTGATGTCACTGAAACAGTATTAGATTTAACTCCACTCATCTCAACATATTGCATATGTGCGACATTATCATTTTGCATGCAAAAAGAAAATTTGAATACATTTTTAAACATATATATCCAAGTATTATAATAATAATTTTATCTGTCAAGTGTAAAAGTAAAGACCGTGTCGAAAGGCATGCTGTCCCTCGAAAACTGAAGGACTCGTATGTAACAGAATCTTCTTCAATATGTGTTCATAATTAGTTGACACCACAGGGAATATGACAATCGGTCTAAAGTCTTCTGGACCCGGTACCAAGGATGATTTTAGTACCGCTACTATCATTGCTAGTTTCCAATTTTGAGAAAAAAAACGAAGTCGTTAAAATTGTTTCAATATCAAAATCACCATGATCGTCAGATGTCACATCATGTACACTTTATGAGGTCACCAAATCCTGTACATTTGCTGATCATTCTAAGGAACTTGGTTAAAGTCAGTAGATTAGACAAGTAGAACTACATTATTTATTATAAAAAAATATTAATTGCTAATATAAATATACGCCAAAAACAGTACATACACAAAAAAGACTTGTATTGCTAAAAACGTCAGAAATTTGAGAATCCGACTCAGCATCCCAGCAGCATTTGGCATAATAATGACATCCAGCACCAAGTTGTTGTCCTAGCATCACTTGCACAATATACTTGTATCGAGGCATTACGAGCTTATTTCTTATGGTCGTGTTTATGGTATCGGTAATATCTTTCGTCCATTGGGACACCTCCTCAACATTATATGCTTTTCCTATAAATATATTTTCAGGCATTAGTGTTGTTAAAATTTAAGCGATCACCGTGGAAACCTTGTAGCTTTTCAGACAGCACGTCATGGATAATTTCTTTTATGAGAACCCCTTTAAACGTTTCACCCAGAGAAGGTTTCAGCTTGTAAGAAGTAATGGTACCAGACGCATTCTGCCCAGCAACATTGTTTACCTCAGTTCCCATTTTGTATTGAATTTAAAAGAAAGCTTTTTCGTTCTTTTATTTTTTTTTTTGTTGGGGCAAGATGATGTTTACCATGTACTTCTTCTTTGGGTACAGTCACTATAAAATGTTAACACATATATATTAGGTGTGTACGATAACCGAATATTTTGTACAAAATATTAGGCGAGTCTGCCTAATTTTCCTGCAGAAATTGTCCAGCAAATTCTTTTTGAGATAGTAACGTAGTTTAACTAATCAATATATATGTAGACAACGGAAATTTAGTTTAGTTTTTATGCATGTGGTTCTCAGCACGCTTTTGCACATCAACATGCTGATTTACGTAGTCGACCTACTTGACTTCGAAAACACATTTAATAGTTTTTTTCAGAACTTTACTTGATTATTACCGTATTTATCGTTGTCATCACATAATTTACACTTATCTGATAAATATCCTACAGTTGTTTATATATTTAAAATTTTAGAATTGAGTGAGTTCAATATTTTCTCTCATACCCCTGAAACGACATGGGCACCTGCTGATCCGCTTCAAGAAAAAGCTGTGAGAGCATTTTGTCGTCTATATTTTTATTAGTCTGTGGTCTTATACTGTCCACAATTTGGAAAGTAACTCATGTAAAATATGTCTATAAATGCCGAAATTCCAGTATCATGGGTATGTGTCTCTTCTGTTATTAGGAATATGAACTCTAAAAACGCCATTTGAAAATGTGGCTAAAATCGACCAAATATGGGGAGTTATCTCCATATGGGGCTGTAGGAAAACGTAGCCCGATCTCAACGTCGAATTTTAACTTTTACGTCAGAAAGTGTGGCCAAATCCTAAAAAAAATATTATTTTTTATCAAGTATTCTTTTTTGGCCTTCATATTCGTTTCGTTGGGGACGTCTTTCATTTTTGTTTCCGACGCGCGCTTTCGCTCTGTTTTACAACATCGCAAAAGGACAGAAGTGCGCGTGCTGTAGAAGCACAACTCAACCACTATAACAACCAACTCATCTGACCTTAACAAGGACATTGGTATTGGGCACATTAGTTGGATAAGAATTTGAAAAAAACAGTGAGTGAAGTAATGCTAAGTTCACATGGCACGTGATTCTCTCTCTATTCGTTGTTCGACCATTAATTATGAATTATCTACTTGATTCCCCACACAAAAGATCAGAACAAAGATTTTTGTTATTTGTTCCATTCAAATCACTCTCAGAACTGCGATGAAATGTGTGCTATCCCTAAAGCTGCCCTCAGACACACCAACAGTTGGCCCAACTTGTCACTTTTAAGTTGTATGAAAAAGTTGGTCGGTCTCCTCGCACGTACCAACTTTTCATACAACTGTTGTACCAACTTTTCATTTACAAAGTATTTTTGAAGCGTCAACATTAACTCGGATGCTCTTGCGCTATTTGGAATTGATATCATTTTAGAGGAAGAAGAAGAAGATGTTTTATTTGTTTTTTTTTTCTTGTTTTGTTTTATGATTATGTTTTGTTTTCGTTTCTCTTCTTGCGCTCAGCGCTCAGCTTATGTATGTGCTGCTTCACCAAAGTCAAGACATAAATGAAGAAAACACTGAAGTTGGTACAACTTGCCCTCGCACGCACCAACAGTTGGCCCAACTTACGAAATTATCAAAAAATTTTTGATATTTCCATCCAACTTTCGAAAAAGTTGTACAACTAGCCCTCAAACGCACCAATAGTTGTTCCAACTTGTCACAAGTTGGGCCAACTGTTGGTGTGTCTGAGGGCAGCTTAACAAATGTGATTTAATGAAATTTCAAAATTTTTCAGGAAAACTGAAAATTATAAATGAAAGATATATTGAATGGCGTATGTGAATTCAACCGAAAGTAAATTTTGTTTCTTCTCTCATCTGAGGTACACTTTTTGTCCACGAGTTGGAATTTCGACAGAAAACTGGAAACAAAAGAGGCAATATTTTCAAAATTTAAAAGTTTTTGCCCTTTATTTTTTTTTTTTTTGACAATCCGAATTTAAGAACTGAAGATATATGTAAAATGTCAACATTTGTACAAAAAGTTCAAAACATTAATGACCTAAATGACAGACCTTAAAACCCAATAAAACAAAGTCTTAAATCATTCATGAATGCATATTGTTAAACGAAAGATAAATTAAATCTTTGGGGGAAAAAAAATAATTTCTTCTATTATTATTAATGCTAATTGCATGTACTTTCGTACAAATTTCTATGAAATTCAACGAACAAAAAATTTGGAAAAAGGAAACCTAATTCCTTTTTCCAATTTTTTTGTTCGTTGAATTTTATAGAAATTTGTACGAAATTACTATGAATTACGAATCGTGCCGAATGAACGGGTTAATTCGTGTACCTAAATTTGAGAACGTTATTGAAATTGCAATGGGAATAGCATAAGTCGAACAATTGACTATGAATAGTCGAGTACTCGGTTTTCACACAAGTCCATAGTCAAGTTCGAGTTTCAGAACTTTGAGTACTCAAAGTCGACTATTCGATTAATCGAAAGTCGACTTATCTATCCCTAAACAACGATGATTAATAACAAATATGAAAAGTCTGGCAAGCCCATATATTTGTGGCTTCATTTGCAAATCCACTCTACCTTTACCGGCAAAATATACATTTCTTACATCTTTTGGTAAATTTCATTGTTACTATGGGTGAGCAAATGGAAATTGAGAATACAAATGAAAACGGAAGTTCAGAGATAGAACTAACTGAGACCGAAAATGAGTTATATGACCGGCAAATTCGTCTTTGGGGCCTTGAATCGCAGAAGCGTCTGCGTACCGCAAAGATCTTAATATCGGGTCTGGGTGGAATTGGTGCGGAAGTTACTAAGAACATTATTTTATCGGGTGTACATGCTGTTAAGTTGAATGATGCTAATAGCGTGACGGAAGATGATTTTTGCTCTCAATTCTTAGCACCTCGTACAAGTTTGGGGAAAAATCGAGCCGAGTCGTCAATTGAGAGGGCGAAGGCTTTGAACCCAATGGTCGAAATATCCGCCGATACTCAACCGATTTCCGAAAAAAGTGAGGACTATTTTTGTGGATTTGATGTGGTGGTCATCACAGGAGCAACAAACAATGAACTTCTACGAATTGATGAAATATGTCGTCGGAATGATATTAAGTTCTTTGCTGGGGACGTATGGGGAATGTTTGGGTACACATTTGCCGACTTAAATGATCATGCTTTCGTAGAGTAAGTGAGAAACTGTCTTATTAAAAATCACATCAATATATGTGTCTTTTTTATAGGGACGTCGCAAAACATAAAGTTATATCGAAACCAAATGAAAAGGTTAAAACGGAACTGGTCACAACGACTGTACAAAGGGAACTTAAATTTGCCCCATACCAAGCTGTTGTGGATTTCGATATTAATTCGCCGTCATATCAAAAGAAATTGAAGCGAACTGGTCCGGCGTTCTTACTATTGCGTGTTTTACAAAAATTTCGTGAAGAATTTGGACGTGATCCCTCTTACAAATCCAGGGAGAGTGATCTGCAGGAATTGCTTCGTATTCGAGACATACTTGGCAGCACGGATTTATTGACTACAGATTATTTGGAAAATACTTTTAGTCAAATATCGCCAGCTGCAGCGGTTGTTGGTGGCGTATTGGCTCAAGAAATAATAAAAACAGTAACTAAAAAGGAAGCACCAAACTGTAATTTATTCCTTTTTGACCCACAGACATGTTGCGGATTCATTGAGGCAATTGGCGTTAATTAGTCATTATATACTTTTGGAAATTAAAATAAAAATTGAATTAAATTAGAAAAAATATGTATATTTTTTTAAAACACACATAAACACTCCACCTATAAAGATTATTATTCATGGCTTAAATACTTCAGTATTTTATGATTTAGGGTATGTTGACCAAGTAGTCCTTCACGGTGGCTGGGTCCAAACGTTTAAATCCGTTACGATCACATATTCCAACTTCAATATTATCTGCTGTCATTTTTCCTTCAAATCCCTCTTTTAAAGTTAAGATCGCTGTATGCACTGCATCATCTAACTCGAGATCTTCGCTATACCTATTAGAAATAAAAAAAGAAAATTATGTCTTGCTTCCTTCTTTTATAATTAACTTGCCTTTTTTCCAAAAATGTTTTGCCATTGACAGCATTTTTACCCATAGCAGTAGCTTTCCAAGCGAAGTAAGCTCCCGAAGGGTCACACTGGAATAAATATGGACGATCCGAATCCCATCCGCATATTAATAGTGAAACACCAAATGGCCGGACACCCCTTAAACAGGAATCGTTTTGTTAAAATAGATAAACTTGAGACAACAAAAAGTCATGAATATTATCATGAAATTATTAGCTTTTAGAAATAGATGGCGTGCTAAGCATTTTAGCTGAAGGAGGTGACTCGTTTGGGTTTTTAGGCCAAACCGCACCTGCTTCGAAATTTAATTTCATGATATTACTTATGTCTAGTATGGGACTATCATACCCAGTTTGAGTATACTCTTGCATTAAAGTAGCAACTCGTTGTACCAGTTGAGCTACTGGAATGGGCTCTTTGTATGTAAGATAATAGTTTTGAGCAAGTTTTCTCGCCTGCTTCACTAAGAGTCTGTAATCAGGACCCATTCCTGAGTATATCATGCCGATGTGCCCAGTAATCATCTCGACCCGGTTTACGCTATGTTCCTCGTACAAACTCGATTTATGTTTGTTTTCAGTTGCAATGACAACTCCATTGGATGCTGTGCAAATTAAAGGATAGAAAATTAAAACTTTCATTGTGAATTTGTTAAGGAATCCTTACCCATAATTCCAACCGAGGGAGCCCCGGCTGACACAGCAGCTAGAGCATATTCCAATTGCACCAGCTTTCCCGAAGGGCTGAAAATAATTTGCAATGTTATTCCTAGGCGCTCAAAGGTTATGGATTTTTTTTGCGATATTGGATACTTTATTTTTTTAACAAAACATAGAAGCTAATTACCTGAATGTTGTTAAGGAGAAACTGTAACGCTCAGATGCCATTTGGATTTTTAAAAGCCAGTTAATGTATTTTATCAACTATTCGAACGTCAAAAAGACCTAATAATCGGCAAAATAACCAAATAAACTAAAAATGACACAGCAAAGCTGTACACATAGTTGCCACACGTATAGAAATTGGGAATCAAATCAGCACCAGAATCAAAACCGCGACGTAATGCTGATATACATGTTAATATCTTATGAGCAACTGCTGGGATACATACGCCGGCGAAATGTGATACAATGATGATGGCACAATAATTACCCTGATAGAAGATTCTTTTGCCATGGGTAGACCTGACTGCAATGTTCGCTTACGGTACCCCTTTAAACACAATTTTGTTCAGTTGTATATCGGCAGTTTTTTGTTTTTACTGTTTCTGGAGAATATCTGAATTTCATGAATTGCAAAAATAATATCTTCGGAACTACAAGAGATATCGATGCATATGGGACCATTTTGTAGTATGCAGATTTTAATATCCCATAAGGGGTCAATTTTCGACGTTTTATAGGGTTTTCAAAAAGTTCCGGTACAAAAATACAATTTTTCTTGCATTACTCCGGAATCGATTCCAATAGCACATCACATGCTCACTTGTTGGATAGATATTTCGTTAAGCTATCCATTTTGTAGTATCGGTTTTGTAGAACCGGATGTTGTATCCCAACTTTCGGGCCAAACAACTGAGTAAGCGGGTACTTTGCCGAAATCAGGTTAAAAAGACCTATATGTGGTAAAAATTTCAGGTCAATTCGAGCATAGCCCTTAAACTCAACTTTGTTCTACTAAATAGACATGGACAATGTAGGTATCATTTGAAAGACAATGAAAATACCTGTCCAGCAGCATAAAAATACCTTCTGACAGCATAAAAATTAGAAAGGCTTTGATTCGCGTAGCCGGTCTTGGACATACCCAGAGGAGAAAATCTCAAGCCTCCGCCGAAGGCCGGCTACTTAAGAGTAGTATCCAATTTAGAAAACCTATGGTTCACGTAGCCGGTGTTGGTCATACCAGAGAAGAAAATCTCAGGTTTTTATTTTGTTTTTGTTGTCCCAATACATACATTATTACATACGTTGGAACCGTCACCATTGCATTTTATTTCATATACCACATTGGATTTGTCATCATGAGCTATAGGAAAAACGTTCTGAAAAACCAGGTATATAAGTGGAGCATTTGTAAATTTTCTCAGGTTTTTGTTCCATATTGTCCAGTTTTTGGTATCTCACGTGTCTTATAAGTTCGTTGATCGTATTGTCAGGGAAATCGTTCATCTTTAAGATATTTTTTATTTTATTAATATTATTGAAATAATCATAGGAGAACTAAGAAGGTAATGTCATGCAACCATATGTTTAAATTTTTTTTAAATTTCTAACGTTGACACCATCTCATTGTTAAAATCTATTTATAAATCTATTGTATACACACAAAATCACACATGAGAACTTTAAATTACAGGTTACCTTTATTTCATTGTACCATGGAAATAATATTAAAAAAAATCAAAAACATCTTAAAGATGAACGATTTCCCTGACAATATGATCAACGAAACTTTTAAACTTTCATTTGTTACCATGTAAAATTTAATTTGTAAATAATCATTTTTGCAGTGAGATGTTATAAAATTAAAAAAAAAAATAAATAAATAAATAAAACAATTCACATTTTGTTTTACACACATTTATGGTATATTCCAGAATCTTGCAGGTAGTTTTTCAGTCTTGCAGTTTTGGAACAGTCCAACTGTTTGATGACACTTTTATAGCATTTGGCAGTTAAAACCTATTCCAGGATGAAATATAAGTGTAATCATGGTACAATGATATCAAGGTAGGGCCATGGTACAATGAAGAGAAGGTAGGTCAACTTTGAAAAAAATGCAAGTATAGAGGTCTACCTGTTTGGCTTGTAATTGAAATAAACATTTTGAAAACATCCGAATTTGAATATTTTCTGAACAATTTTTTTGTTATTGAAAAGAAAACACATACATAAACAAATAAAGATGGCATATTAAGCCAAGAAAATAAAAAAATTAAAATCATATGGTATCATAGGCCTACCTGGATATAATTGTACCATGGGTAGGGCTATGAAACCATATGATTTTAATTTTTTTATTTTCTTGGCTTAATATGTCATATTTATTTGTTTATGTATGTGTTTTCTTTTCAATAACAAAAAAAAAAATTGTTCAGAAAACATTCAAATTCGGGTTTTTTAAAATGTTTATTTCAACGTATGTATCGACAAAATCTAGAGTTTTTGTAGCGAAATAATCCTTTAGAGATATATAGTACATGATTTTGAAAAGAAGTGTTGACCTTTCATTCAGTTATCGCGGTTTTCAATTATTTATTCAAAATAAATGCAACAAATTGTTTGATTTTTTATTGTTTTGATACTAATTCTGACATTACAAGCCAAACAGGTAGACCTCTATACTTGCTACTCATTGTATCATGAGTGTAATTACGTGATGGCAAAGAAAAAACGGGAACGAGTCGACTGCGTCAATCAGCATCTTGAATATTCACAAGTGTGCTGAGAACCAACCAAGGTATAAAAGAAAAACTAACTTTCTTGTCTATATATTCATGAGTCTATGGTTTCATGGGTATGAGTGAAAATATTGAAGTCACTCAAACCTAAAATGTTAATAATGTTACTGAAACCCCCTTTTTCTGCAAACAAAAATTTTACATTTATGAAAAGTAAATAATGATAAATCGAAGGAATGAAAAAAAAATAAAACAAAGAAACTCAAACAAGTAAAGAAGCCGTTATGTTAGGCCGGACCGAACTTTTTATACGCTCCACAATTTGGAAAGTAACTCATGTAAAAATATGCCTGTAAATGCCGAAATTCCAGTATTCGAGGATTTTACAATTCTGTAAAAAATGGCTTGTCATCAAAATACCGAATCTCGAGAGGACAAACTTTGACTTAAATAGAAATTTTTCAATATAAGCAGAATATCCTATATGAACTCTAAAATCGAATTTTAAGCTATTCCGCTAGAAACAGACTAAATTCATCAAAATTCCGAACATGGGAGTGTACAATTATATGGGCGCTATAGGAAAACGAGGACCTATATATGCAATGTTCTGCCACAGAAGGTAGAACAAATTATTATACCGAATTTTAAACTGTTCTGTTGGGAAGTGTGACAAAAACGTCAACATATTGAATATCCGAAGATACCTTTATATGGGGGGCTATATGTAAACCTATATGGACAATATTATGCCTCATAAGGTAGATCACAATACAAACTCGAAATTCCAAATTTTAGACTATTTTGTTTTAAAAATGTGGCTATAATCTTCAAATTACGTAATTTTGGGAGGTACAAACAAAGACAACTGTATGCAACATTTTAGCTTCCCATCGCTAATTTGAGTTTTACGCTGATGAAGAATATATATACCTTGTTGGGTCTAAAACGATTATTTCGATGTGTTACAAACGAAATGACAAACTTAATATACTTTCCATACTATGTATGTAGAGGGTATCATATTTTGGCGTAATTTTCGGAATTGAAACCATTCCGGTTAGAATTTGTAACATGTCCGTACTTCCCAATACTTCGAAAATGTAAAGTTTTTATTTACCCATTCAGTACTAATTGAATCCATATCGTTATCATATGCCCAGAAGTGGCTATACAGACCAAAGTTTTTATTTTCATACTTTTTTAAGTAGTCGGGCTTCTTCCGGGACATAATAGTTGTGTTCCAGTACTTTTTTAGTAGTAAAACTAGCAGAAGAGAGAACAGTTCGAAATGTCATTCTCATTTAGGTTTGCTCAAAAAATAAGGGAACGGAAAATTAGCAGAAATGCGATAAAATGTCAAAATTCAAAATTCCAAAAGTAAACAGCCTAAATCGGACTGGTGAAACCTTACTGAAAAGAGCGCCAACATTTAAAAAATGAGTATCGAAGACGATAAGTTAAAATTAATAATTTATAATAATAATTAATAATCTGATTCCTCATTCAGCCAGTCCTCTTCACTGCTGGAATCATCCAAAAGTGAATACATCAGTTGCTCCATATTTTCTCTTTTTGTTTTTTGCACGACAAATATTAGTTTTTCCTTTAAGCTGGAAATACATAAAGCGCTTATCTGGCTGTCTTATGCTAGGAACACAATTGGAGCGAACGACGAATTTTTTCGCGGCGTATGTTCGTCTTCAAAAATAAAACACATATGTGTATATGGAAGTGCACACAATCACGGCACCGGCGAAAATTTCGTCGGTCGCCGCGAACTCAATTAGCTTTATTTCTATTTCATACGCCGGCGACCGGCGAACAAAACAGTACAAGGTGGCCATACTTGTACGAATTTTATGTGTTTTAGTAAATAAAGTTACTTTTTACTTTAAAATTTGTTATGGTCACTCTACTATCTGTTACTCGTATAAAAAAAAACATAATTAATTTGTTTATTTATTTGTGTACTTGCGCCTGAGTGAAGATGGATATCAGTGAATTTATAATAGAGAAGATGGACATAAGTGAAATTATAATAGAGAACGTAAAGAATTATGTGTTCTTGTATAATTCATTGTAGTCAACAAATGAGCAAAAAGTAAACAACTTCATCAGCTGTTTTATAATTTCGTCGGTATTGTGTTCCATACGACGAATTTTCGCGGCTCATTTTGTCGCCGCGTAGGGCGAAATTCGTCGTTCGCTCCAATTGTGTTCCTAGCATTAAGTCATCGGCTGGCTTCTTCGAAAATGAACAAAGGAATCTAGGGCCAATCGAACTGACTTAAGCCAGCCAAATATGCGCTTTATGTATTTCCAGCCTTACAGCCTGTTCCACGATCTCGAAAGAAAATTTGTGCGAACGAAGGCAATTCACTCACTTTCGCATAAGAATGCGTTCCACTAACTTTCGTTCTTTCTTTCGCATAGCCTTACGTGATTCAGTGTTGCAAAATATTTTTTGGCAAAATTAATCGCGAAATAAGGCAAAAAAGCGCCAAATGTCTAATTTAAACGCGAAAAAGCAGCAGTGGCTCTGTCTCAACTGACAGTTCAGTTGTAAACAAACAAATTGTAAATAAACAAACAAAATAAAATTTCTAGTGATTGTGTTTAGATTATTTGTGTTCTTAAAAAAGAAAAAAAATGAATATTTCTGTAGCCCTATTTTTTATGGATGATGAGGAGGAGGTTCAAATTGTGCCATGGAGGCATTTAAGAGATGCTTCGAATTTATTTGAAGTACCTAACAACCAGTAAGTATGATTGTATTTTTACATTTTTGAAATAATAAAAAAATGATTTTTTCTAGGTTTGTGTCTTCCAGTGGTCTTCATGGGATTGCCTGCTGCTTCCAAAAATTGGCACTCCTCTGGCGAACTTAGGATTCTCCCCCATATACTCAACTAGTGCCCGCAGCAGGAACGTTCGAAAAAAAAAAAAAAAAGTTGTGCGAACGTGTTCTTTCGACATCGTGGAACAGGCTGTTAGTTTTCAAGTTGATCATTTTCTTTATTTATATGTATCAATACATTTTTCAACCTTGTTAGCCCTGCCAATTAAATGTTAAATTTACAATATGCACATTTCTGCTCGGCCAAATTCATGTAGCTAAAACAAGCAGAAATGTGCACCACTCAGCGCCATTTTTTTCTCGAGAGTGCTGCAAGTTTTGCTAGTTTTTGGAGTACGGGAACGCGTTGTAGCAGAATTAGTGCTAATTAGTACTAATTTGCAGGTTCTGGAACACAACTAATATTTTTTCTTTGTAGTACGTCCGCCTTCTTTGCGAACCAACCTTTTTTCTAAATTTAATATTTAACTCCGAGATTACTTTTTATTTCAACATTTGGTTTGGAAATATCAATTTTCGATGAATTTAGAACCTCACATCACGAGAAGTATGAATTTTCCCTGAAAAAAAGTAATAAGAATAAAAAGACCTAAAATCGGAAAACGATGTTGGTATTTCCGGCAGCTGCGTAATCCCGATTTCATATGCATTTATCAATAAAAACTTTTATGCCTTTTGGAATGTAGTTCAAATGCTACAATACAAATTTTTTACTTAAAGATTTGTTGTACTTGTATGTGAGATTCTACATATTTTGAGATTTAAATCCAAATTACTTGGATCAGCAAACTAGGACTAGCAATAAGCATTAAACTTCAATTCAATAGTCTAACTATTTTCGGTGCAATTTTTGTCATTTTGCACCATGTCCGTATCAGGCGACATACTGTTATGTTCCACACTTTGATCTGGAGTAAAATCAGTCATTTGATGCTGCCCTGCATCCTGCTGAACTTCAATTTCTTCCACAGAGACATCATTAGAAGTTGTGTTCTTGATAGAACTTTCGTTGAGCAAATCCGGATTAATATTTCTAATAATGTCACTTAGACGTCGTATCTCTGCCCGTGCATCCTCTAGTTCATTTTGTAAATAAGCAATGTTATCGGCTTGGAGTCGAGCATCTCCTAAATTCTGTAACAAGTATTGGGTTGGATCTTCCGGTCTTTCCTTCAAAATACGTACGAAAACCTTGGTCAAAGACTCGATAATGCCACCTCGCTCCAAATAGCGCCTGTATTCATCTCGTTTGGGATCTATGGGCTAAATCAAAAGTTTATTATCTATCTTTTTCGCCATTTCCCATGATATTTACTTACTTTAAATGCCATATTAACGCCTATAATTGGTCAACGGACTTGCAGTTATTCTGACGGCAGTACCTTATTGTTTAGTCTCGGAGAAATTTGGTTAAGATACCAGAACCGTACCAGAACTCGCTTTTATTTGTCATCAAAACCTAACTGTTTTAAAAAAGAACTGTTTTGTGTAGGGATAAATAAGTCGATTTACGTCTTTTTAACCAGTTTTTTTTTTATTGAGGCAAGTACCATAATATTTACGTTGCGTACAAAAATACTCTACGTTTCATCCAAGGTAGAAGAATACAGGTAGTCGTATCGACATAGCTGCTAGGACAGTTAACTGTCAAACCAATTTTGATGTTAATACACCTTCTTCTACCATGGTTTCACCACAATCGAGCTTTGGGTACGGTATTACCCCTGATCCAAGTATAAGGCCACCCTTCCAGCCCAGCTGATTACCAAACGATCTATCAATTAAATTAGAATTCGATGTTACCATGGCAGAAGAATACAGGTAGATGCATCAACCCTCCATACTATGGAGGGTATATTAACTTTGTCATTCCGTTTGTAACTCCTCGAAATACCCATGTTAGACCCAACAAAGTATATATATATTCTTGATCAGCGTAAAATTCTAAGTCAATTTAGTGATGTCCGTCTGTCTGTTGTAATCACGCTATCTTTCGAACGAATTGAGATAGAATGCTAAAATTTTGCACAGGTGTTAATTTTTCCAGTAGGCAGGTTACGTTCGTAAATGGGTCATGTAGGTCCACGTCTTCGTATAGCCCCCATATAACGGTACCTCCCAATATTCGGTATTTTGATGATTTTAGCGTCATTATTCCCCCGAATTGTTTCAAATTACGTATTTAGAGTTCGTAATGGGAACTACAGTCTGTGACAGAAAATTGTTTATGCAGGTTTAGGTCTTCGTATAGGCCCCATTCATCAGTACCTCCCTATATTCGGCATTTTGACGAGTTTAGGTACAATACCCACCGAAATTGTTTGAGATGTCATATTTGAAGTTCGTAATGGATGCTACAGCCTATGACAGAAAATTGTCTATGCTGGTCCAGGACTTCGTACAGCTACGATATAAAGGTACCTCCGTATATACGAAATTTTGATGACAAAGCTAATTCTATTCTTAGAAAAGAGCGTAAAAATATTATGAAAAACTTTTCAATGGACTAGATGTTACTCACGTCTGGAGACAACTTCATGACGGTGGTATCACTGATAGGGACATCCACTCTCAACTGACTTTGATGTTAATGTTTTGAATGAATATTACTCAAAATAATGTTGTGTGGATCATTCAAGGCTGCTAAATAAACTGTTCTCTTTATATGCATTTGATAGTAGTTCATGTAAATTAATTGCTTCTTATTTATCTGGACGTTTCCGGCCGTTCGTGGAAGCAGAGCTGAATGGTGGAACGCCCGATAGATACATCGGGTATCTGCAAATTTAAATAAGCAGTCGTGGACAGCTCAGCGGTTTCCAGGGGAGAGTCTCGGGCTAAATATCCGAGTGACCGTGATCCCTGGACTCTACGAGGCGAAGCTATTGGCGCATCCTAAATATTCAGTCGACGGACTGGTCCTCCGCTATGGACTCCCTAACGCTGGGGTGTTACGAAAACCGTGCCGTCAGGGTACCGACTGTATTCGTCGATACCTGGGCGCCTCGACGAGTAGCAGGCTTAGCTACCAAGTCCCTACAATGATAAGGAGGCTCTGCCATGGTGGACATCGTCAGCTCCACAGTCCAAAATTCTTTATGGAGAATAGCAAACAAAAAACAACAACAACAAAACAAAATTCTGACCCAATTTCAACTGATCATTGGAGGCATCGACCCAGCTCGACTTTACTTTCATACCCTCATCTTAGAAAGATGAATCAAGCCATTAAGCTGCGTGGGTATTCCCCAATATAAGAATTTTGTTAAAAAAATGAAAAATAAACCAAACCAACTATTGCATATTTATAAGTTTATTTCACTCTATAAGATTCCAGCACAGAGTTGTATTTTTCTAATATCTTTGATGTTGAGCAAACTTTCTTATTGAGCAATGTTTAGAACGCGTATCGTCGCTAAAAAGAGTTTAAACTTAATCTTCCTTAACAATTTCAGCGGAGTAGGCGCCACTGCGGTTAGACTGGAGACACAATCTGGAAGAACCTTCATTTTTGTCTCACAGACCCAACAAAGTATATATATTCTTGATCAGCGTAAAATTCTAAGACGATTTAGTGTCCGTCTGTCTGTCTGTCTCTCTGTTGTAATCACGCTATCTTCCGAACAAAATGGAATAGAAGGCTAAAATTTTGCACACATGTATATTTTGCCAGTAGGCAGGTTAAGTTCGTAAATGGGCCATGTAGATCCAAGTTAACATATAGACCCCAAATAACGGTACCTCCCGATATTCGGTATTTTGATGATTTTGGCGATATTATTCAGCGGAATTGTTTCAAATTTGGCATTTGAAGTTCGTAATGGATACTACATCCTAAGTCAAAAAATGAGTCATGTAGGTCCACGTCTTCGTATAGCCCCCATATACCGTACCCCCCCGATATTCGGTATTTTGATGATTTTAGCGACATTATTTACCGGAATCGTTTCAAATTTGGTATTTGAAGTTCGTAATGGATACTACATCTTAAGTCAAAAAATGAGTCATGTAGGTCCACGTCTTCGTATAGTCCCCATATACCGTACCCCCCGATATTCGGTATTTTGATGATTTTAGCGACATTATTTACCGGAATCGTTTCAAATTTGGTATTTGAAGTTCGTAATGGATGCTACATCCTAAGTCAAAAAATGAGTCATGTAGGTCCACGTCTTCGTATAGCCCCCATATAACGGTACCCCTATATTCGGTATTTTGATGATTTTAGCTAAATTATAAACAGATTTTTCTTCAAGTTTCGCATTTAAATATTGTAATAACTTATGACAAAAGTTGCCCATACAGGTCCACATCGTCGTATAGGCATTCGGTATTTTTAAGATTTTAACGGATTTTATTTTATTTTTTTTTTTTTTTTTGGAAGTTGCCACATTTGTACCAAATGGTGGAGGGTATTAAAAGTTCGGCCCGGCCGAACTTACGGCTTTTTTACTTGTTAAGGCTTGTCTGCGTTTGTCTTACATTCCATCGTTGCAGAGGGAAGTTACAGTAATTTATATTCCCAAGGCGGATAAACCGAGTCACAGTCCTTTCTATTGAAAACTCTGGAGAAATTAATAGATATTGAGATCAGTTCCCTACTATCTTGAGCTTCGGTGAGTACTGTTCAACATGCCTACATGAAAGGAAAACCTGTTGAAACAGCACAGCATGACGTCGAGAATTTTGTGGAGAAGAACCTGAATGACTCATGCTTCACTTTGGCAGCCTTTTCTCGACATGGAAGGGGCCTTCAACAATGTCACACTTGAGGCAATTCATTCTTCCCTTACAAAATTAAGTTTACCACCACTGCTAATTGAATGGTTTGATGTTATGCTCTGTAGCAGAATCATCAACTCAAGCATCGGGAAGTGCTCTGTCAGGAAATTGGTTACTAGAGGCTATAAGCCATGCAGCTGCTGGAAAAAAGAATCAGCGAATTGAATAGACTGGTGACTATAAATGTCGATAGTCAGGCGGCCTTGAAGGGTCTTAATTCCTTAGCAATCAAATCTACGGCTGCTCGGAAAAGTTTAAATCGTTTGTAAAACTTTGTTGGATCCCTGGTCATTGTAACATATCTGGCAATGAATCAGCAGATGAATTGGCCAGACGCGGAGTGAGATTTAGAGTTCGACAGCTCAGTGAAGCCACCATTTTGTCACTTCTTCAAAGTATTACACAAGCACTACCTTGGGAGATTCAACAGAACTGACTGATTGGAAGGCGATGTAATGTCTCCAAGAAAATATGGCCAGTAATGTCCGAACGGAGATCCATATCACTCATCTCCTTGGCGTGAGGTAAGACAGTTCTCGTTTTCCCGCGGTGTATTTCGCCGCATGTTTGAAAACTTTGCAGATACAAATGGAGGTTAACGATTTGTTTGTTAATGGCATATGACGATACTGTATTGTTTGATTCAACATATAAATAAATAAATGAAATGAAATATAAATCACCGAAAGGAGAAGAAGAGTTGCAAGTGAAAGCAAGAAAAAATTTGTTCAGTAAGAATTTGCAAACTTTCAGTAAAATAACTCTCAAAATTTTTCCATCAAATCTTTCTCTTTTTTCAGATCTTTTTTTGTTAACATACGACTTCCAATTGTTACAAATTTTAGGGTAACCAGACACACCTTATCACAAACTAACCACTATGGGTTAGTGGCTCTTAACGGCAACTTCTAATTGGCTGTACACCGAGATCCGCGTTTCTAATCCAAGCCAGGTTCAGCTGAATTATTATTATTTTAATTTTGCTCTAATGTTCGCGAACCACAAACTGCTGTCAACTGGGTTGTTATCTTCCTAGTCCATGTGGAAAAGAGTGACCGTTTGTTAAGTGGCGGATATTTTTATATTCCTCGCATTGAAGAAGGTGACAAGTTACACGAGAGTGGTGTTCATACCACTCTACTATATAATAAGATCCCATTTTGAAATCAGATGCTCTTTTATAACTACATCAAATAAAAACGATAAATTGTTTTAATATTTATTTGATGCAAATCATTTTAATAGATATATACATATTAGTGCTGCCTTTTTTAAAGTTGTGCTTAAAAAGTTGGAAAACATATTAATAAGTAGTGTAAAATCTAAAAACACATCTTGTGCTATTATTCTTAGCGAAATACTGGAATGTTAGACAATAATAAAATTATATCGATATCAAAGAATTAAAGCATTAATTAATGAAATAAACAAAAATGCCAAGCTGATTAAAGGTGGCACTACAAAATCAGCTCTGCATTGTCTCATGGTATACCAAGTGACGCATTTCAATTGAATTTCAGAGCGTCACTTGACATTAATAAGTAATGCGGATATGCCAAACTGTTTATGCGTTACCCATTTTTTAGCTCTCTGATATAATACTATAACTACAACATAATTTTTGGTTTCGTTCGGTGAATATTACTTATGGTTTCAGACATACTAACTGTGCGTAAAAAAATTACAAAATTACAAATCTTTTGGTTAATTCAGCTTTTGCTTTACAAATCCTGATATGAACCATGTCGATTCTTTATAATCCAAAACGAATCAATTATAGTTCCATTTTTGTCATCCGAAACTTGTTCAAAATAAAGATGCGTTTGATTGTAAGCCTTTAATCGTGTATATCCATAATCCTACAACAATAAAAAGGTAAATATAAATATAAATAAAAACAACAATTTTATTGCTACAAACTTGACTATGGAAAGCACTCCATTCTGGTATATTTTTTAAAAATGGCTCTCGACCCTCTTTACATCCGGCAGAACCCGTAATGAGATGGACAGGCGCTTTTGGATTGCGGTATGGTTCTTCATAGGAACCATTTCGGACTTGGTAGTCGTAAATGGGCCACAGACGTTCATAAGAATGTTCATGGGCCCAAACTTCAACGTCGACGCCAAACTTATAAAATAACTCCTCCAAACCAAAGAAGTGCAGAAATGGCCACCCGACTCTCGTTAGTGTCTGTGAGTGAGTGCAATCATTGTCATTTTCGTTACTACAATACATAGGTCGGTGACCATATACAATAATCCATGGACGAATAGCTCGGTTTTCCGGTTTCGTTGCTTCCTCCAAATCTTTTTGCAGCCATGTATATTGGAAAACAAGTGTTTTCAAGCCATAGTTCAAAAAGTAATACATCTCCGTGGAAATTCCTATAAAGTGAATGGGTCCCAAATTGAAACTGTAAAATAAATTTTCCGTTCCTCCCGGCATACTAAATCTTGCCCGATAGTTTGAGAAATTGCTGCAAATGTTATTAATACCACAATTGAGGAGATTTTCGTGTTATCTGATTTTTTGATACATACTATTTTTCTTCGTGATTTCCTGGAACAACCATGTAAGGAACATAGGCCGCTATTGTTTCAACTTGTCGCATAAATTCATCGCCCACACGAGCATTATCGGTATTCATGTCATATGCGAAGTCACCTACATGAATAATGGTATCATACATACCATTTTGCGTGTCTTGTTGCAGACGGGCTAAGGACTGTGCATTTTCGTTCCCCATATCTCCAAATAAAGCAATACTGGGTGACCAATCAGAGCCCTCCGGCACTGTGCGAAACTCAAATTTTGCAGACCAACCTAACCTACTGCCGCAATGATAAATGTACTTAGTTGATGGCTTCAGGTTTACTAATGTTACCTAAAATATAAGAAATGTTAGTTTAATTTATTGTTTCATTACATTCCATAGTTGTAGGGATACATATTTAATTTTACAGTGTAGCAACGACAAAATACATCTATCTATACAACCTACCCCATTTAATTTTACACATTTTCTATATATTTTGCTTGCAAATAAGTAAAATGTTAATACATAAAATATTAATAATATATTATTATGTGTAAAAAATAAAATAGATTCTCAAATTACAGAAGTTACAACAACAATTCCAGTTAGTCATAAAATGGTACATTTTTTAAATTTGAAAATTTTTTTTGGCAATCTTCGTAAAGTTTCGTTTTAAAGGAATTACAGTATTAATTAAAGATTTATGTATTAGAAAAAGGTCATATTACATTATCGTGCCAAGATTATTTATTCAGATGAAAATCAGTTTTTCTGTGTTCATGTGTTAGCGGGTATTGTTAGTATTATCCTATTGTTTAAAACTAGTTTCGTAAAATATAAATAAATATAGAATATTTAGAACATGTAAAACTTGTGTAGTGATTTCAAAATTACCCTGTGAATATATTGTATTTTATGCTTATCTCCACCATCAACAAATTTATTTGTAGATCCTTCCGATTTATACTTAAATTCGTTTCCTTCGCCATATTCTACAATGCTTTCTCCAGTATCATTACGCGTGGACCAGGTAACCACAATATCGCTAGTTTTTTCTAACAAATAAAAATACAAAAGTTAGAATTTTTAATGCTAGCCATGTTTGGTGGATTCTATATCTGAATTTAAATTATAAATTATTTTTTTAGTTATAATTCATACAAATGGGCTAAACCACTAAATTAGGATTAAAATGGTCATATTCATTACTTATACTTCAAATTAACTCTCTTTAAGTAGGTTTTCAAAAAAGTTCCAACATAAACATGGCATTAGCCAATTATACATGCATTAGAGATACATACAATTAAACATTAACTTTATCTTTAATCGACAATATTAAAAATTATGAATAATTACAAATAAAAATAATAAGCGGCTCCCCATGGATGTATTAACATGTAAAGAAGATAAGGTTCTATAGCATTAAAATATGTAAAACCACATTTGAAAAAATTTCAAACTTTTCTTGAATGCGGAATAGTATTAGAGAAATATTTTTAAAGAAGTAGGTAAAAAGCTCTATACCCTATAGACACGCACCAGAAATGATTGTTCAAATATTTCCAAATTTGTGAACCATTAACATCCCTACAATAATTGTTGCCAAAATAGAAACAAAACCTCCTAACTATTGCCCCAGTCTTCTTTCTTAAACTTTTATATACTTTCCAGTTTTCATCACATGGGTTCCTAGCAAAGACGGAAAATGACTTATCTCTCTCTTTTCTAGCCTGCATTATTTCATTCAAAATCATTACTTGCATTTGTTCTAACCCGTTTAGTTGGAACATAAGAGTGGAATAGATTAATAAAATTACTAAAAATCAACATGATAAACACGGTAAACAGAAAACCAAACTCATTTTTACTGACGAATAATCATTGATTGATTTAATGTAATTTTTAAAATCAATCCATCTTTGACTGAGATTTAAACTTAGGAGAAAGTAATACCAGACTGTGGCTAGAAGAGTAAAAATGGACAATGAATTTTTGTTTTGGAGGTAACATACGTGGACTGACTGGTGAGAAACAAATCTAACAATGAAATAGTCTTTGTAAAGAGATTAATAAGCGAATAATTAATTATGGGTTATGAACCAATGAAACTAAGACCACATCTGTCTACAAGCGAGTGGAAATTAAAGATTTTATTGTATCATACATGTAATAATGCAAATCGCACATAACAACAATATTTGAATACTTATCAAAAATATCTGAATGAATAATTTTAAAAACATCAACAGCACCACTCGGTAAATAAACCACTCCTACAATAAATGACTTACAAATTATACAAATGACTTAAAAATCTTATTTAAAATTATACATTAGAACAAATTAACAAAAAAAAAAAAATTAGCAAAATTAACTATTCTAAATCCATGTTGACTCGGGTGCAATAGTGAACGCTCATTTATATATTCTAACATTTGATCTTTCAATACATATTCAGCCATTTTAGAAAGAATTGGCATTATTGATATGGGCCTGTACTCATCAGACCCACCTTCGTGAATAGGCACTATTTTAGCAACTTTCCAGAGCTCAGGAAACAGACACTGTCAACATCGTATTCACAACATGCAGCACAAAAGGACCAACGAAGGGAAAAAAATCAATAAAAACAATAAATTATTTTAATAAAATACATATTTGTAATGTTGCCATTATTGTTACAAATAATATATGTGCATTATATAATTACTTTAAAAATGTCATGTGAATGCGCAAAGTTATTATAGGAGTTATTTTTAAAATAACTCCTGGGGAGAATATTCCTGACAAAAAAAGGGAACTGATGAGGATTGGTGGCTCTTTCCCTGCTTTACCCCTGTTAAACATTATCATCTTTCTCCACTAATAAACAAACGTTGTTCTTATAAAAACAACAATAATGGGATCAAGCCTGACTATTTTGCATTAAAAAAATACTACGGTATCCCGAACTAACATGCCAACATTGTTCTAAAAATATTTCATTTATTTTTTAATTCTCAAAATTGTGGGAATTACAGTTAATAAAGACAATAATTTGAATCGTGGAATATTTAAAGTTTACCAAACATAAAACGGCATATATTATGTAAAATATGCCTGGATATAACTATGTATTATTTCAAATACTTTGTTTTCTAAACAAATAATGAAACGCCCCTTTTGTAAAAATCAATCATTATTATGAAAAAAGTAATGTAAAATGCGTAGTTCATTATTTTCTGCTATATGAAAATGTAGTTCAAGAGCAAATTTTAAATGTAAATTGCGATAAGAGATTACTTTATTTGTTCATGTCCTTACAATTCAGCTAATATTTTATGAATGGTCTCTATTATTTTTTAACTAAGATTGGCGGCCCAAACGACAACAAAATAGGTTTTATTTTTTAATTTGTTAAAAAAATATAATATTGAACAAATTTAACGATTTTTTAATTTATTTACCTCCAAATGATAAATGAATCTGCTCCGGTCTAAAATAGACCACTGAGTCGAGATTTCTTTTCACATCCTCTGCAAACACTACCTTTTGACAAATCACAGCAAAAAACATCAGTATTAACTTGCACATTTTTAATATTTAAAATATTTTTTTTATTTATAAAAAAAAGAATCTATAGGATGCATTAGAGTATTCAATTGATTATAAAATTTTCAAGTTGTGTGTCGTTCAAATAACCTATTTTCTGAAAGGAACTATCGGCCCCAGGACAGAAAGATAGATGTATTAGGAACTCGCATCGGCAAATTGCTATAATGAAATCAGTCAGTTAGAGCGAATTCGGCAAAGTATTTTTTATGCGGAAATACCCAGTTAGCCGTTTATTCGACCCTGAAGTTCGGATACAAAAATGGGTATTGCCTTTCTAAAAAGTGGTCATATGATAGGTTTGTTTTCCGGGTTCCGGGTTAATACAAACAATTTGTATTTTTGTACTTAACTTTTTGGATAACCCATTATTAAAAAATGCATACTACATTGCAGCCTACCGTCTGCCCTTTCCAAAATGATACTACAGGCATTGATATCTCTTGTAGTTCATAATATGTATCCAACATTTATAGCTTTGTAGTTCCGAAGAAATTATAATGTTTAGAAAAACTGTGGATCACGGAGCCGGTGTTTGACATACCGCAGAGGAGAAAATCTCAAGCCCGGCCCAAGACAGCCTACTTACAAAAACTACAATGTTTAGAAAAACTATAGGTTGCGTAGCCTATCAAATGACACTTGTTGGATAGGTAATTCCATAAGCTTTCATGATACCCTTTTTATACATAAGTTTTGTAGAACCAGATAAAGACTGGATGTTGTAATCGAACTTTCGGGTCAAATAGCCGGGTAACCGGGTATTTTTTTACTTTTCCTTAATCAGGTTAAGAATACACATCGGCGGTAAAAAATTCAAAATAATCCGAGCATAGCCCCTATACTCAACGTGCTCCCTTTACCTTCTTAATTCTACCATGGTAAGGGATAACAAAATTGAACTATGAAAACATAAGAACGGCCTATATTTTTCATTCATGATTTTCATTCTTCTTGAAAATTTAAAAAAAAAATCAATATGTTTTTCTTGATTTAGTTAGTTGTTTCCTTTCTCCGCTTTATTTTATCCAATATTTCGATTGTCATCGACATTCATCTTCAGGGATATTAACTTTATTTTAGAAGAAAATATACTTTATTTTAACGTCAATGTCGAATTTCATAAAATTTATCTTTTTTAAATGTCATAATATATTTTTCCGATATATGCTTTCAACAATTTGGGATGGTAAACATTTAATCGTATTTCGTTATTCGCTTAGCAAATTTTGTGTGGGGAATCATGGCAGAAGAATACAGGTAGATGCATCAACGCTTGGGAGCATTGATATGTCAAAAAAAATTTAAATGTTTTTTCAAATATAAATAGATTTTTATATGTTTTCTTATACTACGTCATTCGGAGGCTATTATAATTTGCGTTTTTCAACAATTTTTACAAATTTAAATAATTTTTCATTCAACATTTTCAATTCCAAAATTGGTTTGACAGTTCATTGACCCAGCAGCTGCGTCGACGCGTCTACCTATATTCTTCTACCATGGTGGGGAATTAAATAGCTATTGAATAATTAATGGTCGAACAACGAATAGAGAGTGAATCACGTGTCATGTGAACTTGGCATAAGGAAATAGGGCACCATTAATTTAATTTCCTTTGTAGTTTAGTCTAAATTGGCAAATTAAAATGTAATTACAAGCAGTTCATCTTATAATACATAGACTATTCCAGAACTGCAAGAATGTAAAATTTTTTACTACGATAACCGATTCCTTGATGCTATTGAAGACAATTGCTAAAATAGTAGGTTCTTGCACGTTCTGGAACAGAGCAACAGCCATTGAAAAATATTAATAACCTAATAATTAAATAAAACAATTTCATATAGTATATTAATACTTAATTTTTACTATTGTTTTGTCCATGTCCTAATTAAACTACAATAGATGTCATTATTATTCTATTTTGTTAGAAAACTATTGCAAAAAGAAGATATGCCCCTTGGCATAATGACAGAAGGTAGAACAAAGCTTACTCCTAAATATTTTTCTCTTTAGGTGCCCATATCCCGTCAATACATATAAACCATTTTGTATATGTATGTATATTGTTAAAAAAGAAAAAAAAATTGAAAGTATTTCAAATTTAGGTGCAACAGATATGCATACTTTCGACGTTAATGGGTTTGTACATTTTCGGATAAAACCGCACTGTTCTTCTATTGTAGACATAATTTTGTGGAATAACCCCAACATTTTATTCATGTTTTGTAATTTTTCTCCAATATACAATTTTGAAAGAAAAAATATAGAACAAACAATTGGTCTGTTCCAGAACTGCTAGAATGAAAAACTTTTTCCTACGATAACCGATTTTCACTTTATGATATCGAAAAAAATTGCAAAGATAGTATATTCTTGCAGGTTCTGGAACACAGCAAATATTAATATTATTATTATAATAATTAATGGGTAAAAAATTGTACATTTTCGGATAAAACCGCATTGTTCTTCTATTGTAGACATAATTTTGTAGAATAACCACAACATTTCTTTCATGTTTTGTAATTTTTCCCCAATATAAAATTTTGAAAGAAAGAACATAAAACAAACAATTGGTCTGTTCCAGAATTGCTAGAATGTAAAACTTTTTCCTACGATAACCGATTTTCACTTTATGATATCGAAAAAAATTGCAAAGATAGTATATTTTTGCAGATTCTGGAAAACAGCAAATATTAATATTATTATTATAATAATATATTATTATATTAATTAAATAAACAATACCAATTGTTGCATATTTAAAAGTCTACTTGAAATATTAACACAACGTTTCAGACTTGTATTTTTCCCAGTTTTTTGAAGTTGAACGACCTTTCTTATTGAGCCATGATATGCCTCTATTTTATAATAAACAATGGGGCAAATTCACATGCACGACTTTCAAGCAACCAATGTTAATTTGCCATAACACATTCTTTGGGCGGCTGGAAATTTACAATTGCTACTTAAAAATTGTACCGTCCTTATATGTTAAACAATATTGAACAGCCATTAGCCATTTTGCTACAAATTGCTGTTCAATTATTGGTGATGATGGTAAAGATTTCTAAAGATGCAAACGTTTTTAACGTCGCGGATTTTTCGCAAAATAGATACTAATACGACAGATTTTCTTCCATACCAAACTGCAAACATTTATTCTCCACCAAAGTTGTAAATTCATGTTAATTGTAACAGAATTTGAAAATTTCAAAATTGATTTGATGGTGTAAGTTAAAGAAAGTTCCAAGTAAAGATGCCTATATGCATGGTACAATAAAAATACCAATACCAGCTAATTACAATTTTTTATTTATTGTTTTGAAAAATAAAAACAAAATATTTTCAAAATCAATGATTGGAAGACGCGTAAATTGGATGCATGAAAGCTATTCGCCAGTTTTGCCATTGAATTCAAAGATGGAACTGTTCTGATCATATTTTTGAAAGAAAATAAAGGTCTTTAACTGATTTTAAAAATGAAGAAAAATAATGAATATATGGAAACAACTTGTTGAGTGCAAAATTTAACAGGAAGCGGTCATAGCCTCAGGGCGGTATTTCTGTTATTTTACGAAACTGTTCTAACTACTTATTGTACTATGGTTGCAAGTAAAGAGGCCTATATGTATGGCTTGTAATGTCAGAATTACTACCAAAAGAAATGCAACAAGTCTTTTTTATAAAAAAACAAAATAACTTTTTGCATTGGTTTTGAATATACAAACGAAAAAACTTCGAAAATGAATGAATTTTCAAGATGTTCTGTAAATCTCTAAAGATTCATCTGGTCACAAAAAGGGTAAATGTAAATTAGAAAAAGTAAAGAGTGCTGTCTGTACTGATTGTAATGTCAGAATTATTTTAAACAAATGCAAGAAGCTGTTGTTTTACATTCAATAAAAATAACAACTTGTTGACATTTGACATGTTAAGCCAGGCAAATAAACACCAATAAAGGACATTAAGTTCGCCCGTGCAGAACTCTAAATACCTTCCACAATTAGCTAAAGAGCAGATTTTTATATAAAAGAGTGATCCTTTAAACTGCACATACCAATGTGGTCGAATTTATTTGTGTACGTAATACAAGTGTCAGTGTAATATGTCCAAAAATGTGAACAAAAAATTAATTTTTCAATAAATTATTTTAATTTCAAAATTTTCCATTTTTAGAATTTGGATGATTAAATTTAAAATGCAGAAGAATAGTTCTTTAAATATTTAATTTTAATGCTTTCACACCATTCCCCTGAATGTATAGTTCTTAGCTGTAGGTCCAAATCTCTTAACGCTTCAAGCTAGAAATAGTTGAAAAAAAGAACATCCATTTAAAATTGAAACGAAACTGCATACTTACATAAACTATTTTATATTCTGGAATTTTATGAAAAAATTTGTTCATATTGCCCTGCAGTGAAATGTTATATCAAAAAGGGTATACCTATTGTATATCAAGAAATGGAATTAAATCACAAAACGTCATATCGGATTTGACACTTGTAGTATAGTGTAAAATAGCCTTGTACTAAATTTTGCAACATTGCATAAAAGTGAACACCTGTCAAATTACATTTCACTTCCTTCTTCTTAATCTTGTCTTTTAAGTAAGCACAACATATTTCTGTAATGTAAAATACTTTAAGAATTAATCTAAATAAAACTTGAAATATATATGAACTAATCATATTAAGTGGCGACGAGAAGTAAATGACGGAAGAAGAGAGAGTATATGTGCCAGAAACAAAAAGGATGGCTACCAGATTTGGCGATTTGTGTTCCTTTAATGTTGCTGCTGGCAGATGGCAGGTATATGAGGAACAAATGCAATTTTTTTATGGCTAATGGGTTGGACGATGATAAAGCAAAAAAGGCCATATTTTTGTCATCATGCGGAACAGAAACATATGCTTTGCTCAAGTCTGTTGCGACACCAGAAAACATCACGGATGCTTCTTTTACCTTCGACAAAGCAATAACTCTACTTAGGAAACATTTTTGTCCACACGCAAATATAATAATTCAGCGTTTTCAGTTTTATCGGAGAGACCAGCAAGAAGAAGAATCAATTCCAGA